TCCCCTTGCTTAAGCCAGTACATGTCCGGGCCCGTCTGAAGTTTTCTAGAGAGCATTTGGATGATCCAGAAGAGGATTGGGAGACTGTCATATGGTCAATTGAAACCAAAATAGAACTATTTGGTAGAAACACAACTCGTTGTGTTTGGAGGAGAGAGAATGCTGAATTGCATCCAAAGAACACCATACCTACAGTGAAGCATATGGGTGACAGCATCATGCCTTGGGGCTGTTTCTCTGCAAAGGGACCAGGACGACTGATCCATGTGCAGGACAGAATGAATGGGGCCATGTATCGTGAGATTTTGAGTGCAAACCTCCTTCCATCAGCACGGGCATTGAAGATGAAATGTGGCTGGGTCTTTCAACATGACAATGATCCCAAACATACCGCCCGGGCAACGAAGGAGTGGCTTCGTAAGAAGCATTTTAAGGTCCTGGAGTGGCCTAGCCAGTCTCCAGATCTCAACCCCATAGAAAACCTTTGGAGGGAGTTGAAAGTCCGTGTTGCCCAGCGACAGCCCCAAAACATCACGGCTATACAGGAGATCTGCATGGAGGAATGGGCCAACATACCAGCAACAGTGTGTGCCAACCTTGTAAAGACGTACAGGACACGTTTGACCTCTGTCATTGCCAACAAAGGATATATAACAAAGTATTGAGATGACCTTTTGATATTGACCAAATACTTATTTTCCACCATAATTTGCAAATAAATTAGTTCCAAATCAGCCAATGTGATTTGTCTGGATTTGTTTTCTCATTTTGTCTCTCATAGTTGAGGTCTACCTATGATGCCAATTACAGGCCTCTCTCATCTTTTTAAGTGGGAGAACTTGCACAATTGGTGGCTGACTAAATACTTTTTTGCCCAACTATATATATATATGTGTGTATATATACACGCACACACACTGCATTCAGAAAGTATTCAGATCCCCTTCACCTTTTTCAATTTTGTTAAGTTGCAGCCTGATACTACAGTTGTTTAAATTCTTTCTTTTTTTCTCAATAATCTACACTCAGCACCCCATAATGACATAGTGAAAAGAGAATTTTAGAAATGTCTGTTAATTTATTAAAAAGAAAAAAATGAAATATCACATTGGCATAAGTATTCAGACCATTTGCAACAAAACTTGAAATTTAGCTCAGGTGCCTCCCATTTCTCTTGATCGTTGCTGAGATGTTTCTACACCTTGATTGGAGTCCACCTGTGGTAAACTAAATTGATTGGACATGATTTGACTGGGCCGAAGGTTTACCTTTCAACATGACAACGATCCTAAGCACACAGCCAAGACAACACAGGAGTGGCTTAGTGACAACTCTGTGAATGTCCTAGAGTGACCCAGCCAGAGACCTGACTTGAACCCTATTAAACATCTCTGGAGAGACATTAAAGTGGCTGTCCACTGACCGTCCCCATTCAACATGACTGGGCTTGAGAGGATATTCAAAGAAGAATGGCAGAAAATCCCCCAATCCAGGTGTGCAAAGCTTGTCACGTCATACCCAAAAAGACTTGAGGCTGTAATTGCTGCCAACGGTCTTCAACATAGTACTGAGTAAAGGGTCTGAATACTTAAAGTGACATTAAACCCACAGATGTTTTAACATAAACCAATACTATAATGTGTGCCTTACAGTAATCCATGGTTGTTTCCTTTCTCTTTGCTGCTCTTCCTTTTAAATCCTCATGTCTTCTCATGCTTGGGGAGAACTTCCCTTTTTAGCTCGGGGCCTCTTCCTGTAGTGCTGGCTCAGGTTACAAACCTATACAAACGTATACACAGACACCGTGTATCCATTCCTGAGACAAGGCAGTCTGCTGCAAAACAGAAGATCTGCAGAGCATGAGAACAGATACAGATTTAAAAGGAAGAGCAGCAAAGAGAAGGGAAACAACCATGGATTACAGTAAGGCACACATTAGACTATTGTTTTATGTTAAAAAATCTGGAGGGTTTAATGTCACTTTAAGCACAAGTGATATTTCCGTTTTTTCTTTTTAATAAATTCACAGACATTTCTAAAATTCTGCTTTCACTTTGTCATCATGAGGTACTGAGTGTAGATTAATGAGAGAAAAAAAATTGAAAAAAGTTAAGGGGGTCTGAATGAAGTGTGTGTGTATACACATATA